CTATTTCTGATCTATAATAATAATAAAAAACAACAAACAAACAAAAAAAACACCCCAACAAATCTGTACAAATAACAGGTGGTTTAAATCTTTAGATCAATCATAACAAAGTAACAACTTTTTCCAAGGATGGACATCACCCTATATCCAAAATTTATTCTTGCATTATCTTTGAACAAGAGGGTGTTGCTGAATCTTTCATATATCTTTTGTTCTTGGGACATGGACAGCAGATGCACATTCCCCACTATCTCCACGTTGAATGAGTGTTACAGAGACGACAGAAGAGCAAGATATACCAATCAGTTGATCAACTATCACATAAAATGATGAGTATTCTATTTTATTTCAGTTTGTGGAAAATCTACTATAAACATAATGAGAATTTGTATTTTCCTCACTACCTGAGCAGTGCCAGAATTGCAAAATGCCAACATAGCCCTTCTGCCCAGTTAGGTTTTCTAGACAAAAATTTTTGGAAGTCAGAAATAAGGCTGTTTAGCAGAAACTGCGGTGGTTACCTGCCACGGCCCCAGGCAGGTGGAAGGGTCCAGCTGGCACAGCCCGCATGAGGCCGCATGGCCACCACGTGAGTGGGACCTCAGGGGAGAATCGTCTGCCCCCTGATGGTGCTGAGTGCTGCTCGTGGGTGCTCAGCTTGGGTAATTGTGCACGCTGAGAGGAGGTGAAGAGATGAGAGAGGATGCATGCCAGCCCAAAGAGTCCTTTATTTACCCAGGTGGGGCAAGAAAGGTGCCCTCTGAGTGGGTGCAGTGACAATAATATCACATGGCCCAGTTTCATATAGCATGGGCCAGCATGATATCACAGCCCATATTCATACAGAATGGCCCAGCATAATATCTCATGACCCAGCACAACATAGCATGGCCCAGCTTCGTATCAAATGGCCCAGCATAATATAGCATGGCCTTGTTCCATATCACATGGCCCAGGTTTATATAGCATGGTCCTGTTTCATATAGCATGGCCCAGCATAACATAGCATGGCCCAGCATAATATAGCATGGGGTAGCATAATATAGCATGGCCCAGCAAAATATAGTATGGCCTAGCCTAATATAGCATTGCATAGCTTCATATTACATGGCCAAATTTCGTATCACATGGCCTGGCATAATATAGCATGGCCCAGCTTCATGCTATATTTGGTATTTGGCATGCAATTAGGGGCTGAGGACTGCAGGTTGGATTCAAGACTACTTGTATTAGACAATATCTAAAGGATTTGAAAGCAATTATCAATTCACACAGCTTTTCCTTCTGAAAAAGACCCAAGATATTTCATGATTTATACAGCTGGATAGTGCTTTCAGTGAATAATGCGTAAGTTTTCAGCCCACTTGAAAACTATCTCATATTAAAATCAGCAATATTCAACTGAAAAAAAAAAAAAAGCAACCACAAATCCTAACACATATCACTTCAACAAATTCCAGAGTGGATGCTTTCAAATTACATTTTCATTTTGAAATTCACCTTCATAGAGAATGAGGGAATTTTAAAAGTATTTTAAAATGAAAAAAAAAATTATTTGGAGTAACAGCATTAAACATAACTGATTGCAAGAAACCATTTTGTATCACCAAAAAAAAAAAAAAAAAAAAAAAAGGATTGCATATTTGTTTTCACTGAAAAAAAATGAAAAAAACAGGCCCAGCAAACAGTCCTGTCACTGCAGGGAGCAATCCTCATTTGTCTTCACTAGGTTCTTATTCATTTCCAAATCCAACTGCTTCTTTCGTCTTTTCGAAATGCATAAAGGACCAACTCTGCCCTCCACTTGCTGACCACATTTATTCCTCCACTGACTGTTTTTCTTCATCCTAGGCCTCTTCTCCATCTGTCCCTTTGCAGCAGCTGGATGTCATTCTCTTTCTGGGGCTGCTCTATCGATCTGGTAGGATCCTAAATCCCTGAGTCACATCCTCTCTCTAAATCTTCCCTTCCTTTTTCTCTTTATTTCATTACTCTTCTGTGCAATGAGGATGGTACATGAAAAATTTCATTGTTCTGTAACTGCACATTTGGAGAAAAAGCATTATAGTCAAACTCAGGAATGAATTCACAAACATCATTTGCAAACTTATTAGGTTTCTTTAGGACACTGTTCTATGAGGGTGGTAATAGCTTGTCAGTTAAAACCAGGAACCACAGTTGGCAAAAAATCATGCATTTCAAAGTCTTTAACTTATATATCAAAACTCACTGCCAGCATTGTTTTTTTCTCATATTACAAGAGCTTCAGAAAGTTTCAGATAAATAAACACAGAAGGGTGCTTCAAATTGCAAAAACAAGCTCTCAAAAGCCAGATGAATTTATATACACAAAGATTAAACCAGATTAAGCAGGACCTACATTAAAAGCTTTTCTGTAGGTGTATGGCTGCTTTTTTGTTTTGTTTTCTTAATTTCCCTTTTTTTCCCTTTCAAGGCGCAAGTTTGTAATTATCTGACAAAGAACAAAATAGCAACAGTGTCTGGAAAGAATGCATTTTTAGATAGTGAGTACTTAAGAAGGAAGCTTTGATCACAAGATATATTCCATAGAAACGTAGTTTACATTGTACCATAAGCTGCTTTTCTGCAACTTGAGTCCTGTCTTGACACTCAGTTTTCAACAAAAGTGGACCATGATTATGTGCCAAGTCTCCCCTCAAAAACAATCCCCTTCCCCAAAAAACAACAAGATCTCTGAATGGAATGGTAAAACTAATAAAAAAAATTGAAACTACATTTTAAATTTTCCTTGAATTAAAGCAAAGCTTACAACAGATCATTTTCCAGTCACACCACATAATGAAAAAACTTACTTGACAAGTTGGACGAACATTAACATGTATTTGGGAACCCTTTACTCCCAGGCATCATGATATAAAAGACCTTAATAAGCAACAATTACTATGGTATCAAAGTGTGAAATATCAGTTTCCAATAACAGTTCCTTGATGCAGAAGATCAATTAGAGAAAATTTTCATCAGCGTAAGTATCAACATTTTCTGTTACAGAACCATTGTTAACATAACTCAAATTGTCTTTCCACTTAATGTGGATACATAAGACTGAACACTTATCTTCACTGCAGTTGCTGAAGTATTAACTCATTCTCACTCTAAAGCCATTTGACTGCAATGAGTAGCAAGAAGAGTTTCAATGTTGTTTTTGTGAGTGCTATCAGACCAGACACTTTCCTGTGCAAGTTTTACTTGGAGAAGGCAGGCTGGGGAACACCATCAGGAAGCCATTCATACCTCCCTAATTCTGTGAGCACCTGGTTGAGACCTAGCAGAACACAGCTGCAGCACACGCTTACACCGTCCCCTTTCTTGCCACCAGTATGTGATGAAGACAGATGGTGGGACAATTGGGCACAGTGGCAAACAGCTTTGTGCATGAGGGGGATTCTGAGGGGTCAGGTATAAGCAGGTTACTGGTCCTTTCATTTGCACACATGCAGCAGAGGTGGCTAGGGTTGTCTTAAGGAATTCAGTACACCTGAATAGGTGCATCTACAGAAAGAGCATCAAAATCAACGAGAATATAAAGCTTCTTGAGAACAGGGTTTTTTTGATGTTGCTGTTATAAATAACAAACAGGAAGTGATTAATACTTGTACATTACCATACTACTATTACAACATGAAGCTTCCAGCTTGAAGACTATATATGGAACACCTTTTTCCCCTTGCATTTAAAAATAGGGTATTTACACCATATTAGTAGCCATCTGTCTTACAGATTTTCTTTTCTTCTCTACTTATAGCATTGTAACTTACAACGTACCTTTTTCCTAATGCCATAAACACACCTTCAGATTGTTCTTGGTAAAGAAATATTACTAAAAAATAAACTTCAAAAAAAACAAGCAAACAAAGAAAACACCACAACACCCTTCCTCCAAAAAATACAACACTTCCATAGAAGGTGGAGCCAAAACCCCCTAAATTATATCAGTTTTTTTATTCACTCCACAATATTCCCTGAACACAAATGTCAAATTGCAGGTGCACTCGAAATACTTCTGTTATGACAAGAGCTGTGTATCTTCATAAGCAGTGCTTCTCATAACGATGTGTGAAATAAATGCTAACTGAAATAAAATGGAAAAAAGCCAAAAAAGTCCCAAGTGGAAGTCATGTATAGAAGAGGGACTAAATCATGTGAGAACAAAAGGTCACACGGCTGATGGTCAAAAGGCATGCACCATTTCCCTTTATTTCTTAAACTTCTAGGGCTCCAGTAATAGTGTTTGCTTACTAACAGTATTTGAGTTCACCATACTGATGGTACACTGCTGGTATCACAATCAGCTGAGTGACTCATCACAGTGAAGAAGAGAATGCAACAAACAGGAATAAAGGTTAAGGAGCAGAAAAACTGTCAGAGTCTTAAAGACTGCAGCTAGCAAAGTTTATATTCACAAACTATAAAAAAGCATTACTTTACCAAAGAATTTAGAAGACCAAGGCTCCTCAGAAGAAAAACTCACTATGTTCTTTTCTACCTTAATGTCTGTATCTGGGTCTTTAGACTTCCAAACGATAACCTTCCCCATAAACCAGCTCTTAAAGCTACCAATCTCGGTCATAGCTAGAATGTTTGATGTTGGGGAGGGTAGATAAATATGATTAAGAACCACAATGGTACAGCCAGGACGAATATAACGCCCCCTACTGGCTGGACAATTACCCTCACCTACAGCGGGGTCCAAAAGCCAAATGGATTCTCCCATGTCACCCCCCAGAATGTATGGTTCACCCCACATCTGTAACCCTCCCCTGAACCATCAGGTGCCTGTGACCCCATTGGCCCAGGTCCTGTTCCAGCCCACCCTGGAGCCCCCCTTGATAAGGGGTCTCCAGGGGGCTGGACTCCCTCTTGGATCTCCCTTGCCCTCCTGGAGAGTCCTCCGGGAGTCCCTGCTCTCCTCTCTGTCTCTCCCCTCCCCCATCACCCGAGGCCCAGCCACGTGCTGTGTCTGGCAGCTCGAGGCAGAGCCTCAATGTATCCTGAATAAACCTCTTCCCCCAAGAGCAACCAAAGAGATCTCGCTTGAATTTGTCCGTGGAATACAAATACACGTCGTTACAGACTGGCGCCCATCGTCGAATACGAACCCACGGTGACCTGCAACTGCACCCGTCTGGATGCTTTCCAGCTTTTCTACCTGTAGGACACCTTTCCATGGACACTAACTATATAACCAGGTATTTCCTCGCCATCGTGATCGCGAGCACGGCATTCTGCTGCTAGGCAGTAACGAACCGGAGCTCTTTAAAAAGTCCCGAAGCCGTCGTACAGCTCAGCGACTCGTTACATAGTAGCGAGCTATTAGAGCCCTTATACGACTTCTGGCCATTATTCTCCGAGCACAAGAGATCGCCGCGATTCCGCGGCGACCCAAGGCTTTGTGACGAGACTTGCCGCACCACGTGGCCACGTACACAAAGCACAGGCGAGCACTGCTGAGCACTGCCCGCGCTGAAGCTCTGGAAAAAACCCCGCGGTGACCTCAGCACCGACTGCAGTAAACGTCGGAACCTGACAGAGGATCCCGCTCCTGCGACATCGAGGTGAGCCACACTGGTTTAAAAATGGGACAGTCCCACTCTGCAGCTGATAGAGATCTCTATAAGCAACTTAACCACTTATTACGTAGCCATAATAGTAATTTGCCTAAAAAAGAGCTACGAAAACTCCTAGAATGGATCTTACTTAAGTTCCCATATGCCGAGCGCTCTGCTGTGTTTTGTGGAGACTTTTGGGAGTCCGTGGGACATACACTGTTTAACGACATTTCGCGGCGGGACCCCTATGCTTGCGAATTGCTCCCTGCTTATAGAGTCGTGGCAGGAATCTGCGCTTCTCAAAAGCCGCAGATAGCAGCCAAATCGCTCCCTGCCGTGGCTCAACTATCCCCGCCGGACTGCCCCCCCACCCCGCGCTGCGGCGAGAATGCCGCCGAGGCAGCTGGCGACTCGCCGGTTTCTGAGCGACCGGCGCTCCTCGCCGCGGCCGCCCCCCCCCATCCCCCGCAACCCAGAACCCGCCCTTGCGGCCACCTCCTCCCCCCCTAACCACTCCGCGGGCCCCGCCTCCCCCCCGCCCGGCCCCCCAGCATTGCCTGTCCCGGCTATGATGGCTACTATAGCCGAACTTTTACAAAATCAAACAACAGCCATTTTACAAGCACAAACCCAGTCAATGGCTATTTTACAAACACAATTTCAAGCGTCAGCTGCGATTTTGCAAAAGCTGCATACGCTCGCCTCCGCGGCCGCCCTCCCGACCCACCCGGAAGTCCCCTGGTCCGGCGAACACGCCGGCCATGCGCCGGCCCTGGGCTGGGCGGCCCCCACTCCCGGGGCCACGCCCTCCCTCCCGCGCAGCCCTGACCCCGCCCCCGGGGCTGCCGCCCCCCTCCCCCTCGGTCCAGACCCCGCCCCCGCCCCCGGAGCTGCTGCCCCCCTCCCCCGCGGTCCAGACCCCGCCCCCGCGGCCGCCGGCCCCCTCCCCCGCAGTCCGGACCCCGCCCCCGGGGCCGCGGCCGCCGCCCCCCCCTCGCGCGGGCCTGACCCCGCCCCTGCCTCCACCTCCTCTCCCTCGAGCGCCCCGGACCCCGCCCCTGCAGCCGCGGCACCGCCCGTCCTTCCCAGGGACGCCCCGGCTCCCGGCGCAGCACCCCCGCTGCCCGCCCGCCTCCTGCACTCGCGGCCGGACCCCCCGGCAGACGCAAACCCGGCGCCCCCACCCCCCCATCCCCCCGCGGCGCCGCAGCCCCTGCCTCTGGCTGCAGAGCACCTTAACCCCCCGCCGCCGGCACCACTTCCGGGTTTCCCAAACCCATCACCATATCCCTCCGCACCCCTCCCTTCGCCGTATCTTCAGACTGCCACAGCAACCAATGCCATAGCGACAGCGTATCCTTCCACAAATCCCAGTTCCCCACAGGTGCTGCTGCCCACAACCTCCACCCCCCCTGCTCCTCTGCCTCGGCTGGCAGCAGCCCCTGCCTCACACACTAACAGCTCCTCACCACACCCTAACGACGACTCTATGCCTCAGCAACGTGAACGCAACAATGTAACTGCAGCTTCTACAAACAAAGGACAAACAGAGAACTATGTTACCCCTGCAAACTCTAACCTTTCTATCCCAGTCTCACCAAATTCTCAACACAGTGCCAACAATCTTCACTTGACTAACTGCCCTGAAATCAAATATGATAACCACAAAGAAGACAACCTGCCTTCCCAAGCCATACCGGCAATACCCAACCAACAACCTGCTAATCTCAAAACATGGACATTCCTTCCCTCCCATGATTTAAAAGAGTTGCGAAAAGCAATTAATGACGGTGGCATCTCCTCTTCCTATTTCAAACAGCTGTTGAAAAGTACCCTAGAGAGACACACACTCACGCCACATGACTGCAAACATCTTGCCACCACATTTCTCACGGACTCACAATATATATTGTGGGATCTTAAATGGAAGAGAATGCTTGCAGGAGTCCTGACTACATATAGACAAAGCACTGATGCACAACTTCGCACCCTTACCTTGTCTAAATTAACAGGTGACCCACCAGATGATAAGATCGAACATCAGGCGAATCTACCCAAAATGGTATTGGATGATGTCAAAAAGATGGCTCGCAGAGCCTTTTTGCAGATTCAGCCAGCGGGAACTTCCGAAGAAGCATACAATCTAGTTACCCAAGGCTCATCTGAACCATTCACCACATTTGTAGACCGGGTAATTCAAGCTACTGAAAGGCAATGTGGTGATGATTTGGCCCGGCCGATAATGATCCGGGACATCCTCGAAAATAATGCCAACGCCCAATGCAAACGAATCATCAAGGCCCTAGGAAGAGAAAAACCTACAGTGCCTGAGATGATTGAAGCGTGCAACTATGTTGGGAGCCCACATGACGTGGCAGTCGTCCAAGCACATGAACCCGAAGAAACCCGGGGAGATAAACTAGAAAGGGCTCTTGCAGCACAAGCACAACAGGCAGAAGCAAGAGACCAGAGACTTACGGAACTTCTAACTGCCCTGCATCTCAGCTCCCAACAACAATACAACACCATGGCTGTCATGCAAGCTGCTCTGCCTTTAGGACCCTGCTACCTCTGCAAAAAACCTGGCCACATTGTAAAGGATTGCACAGAAGTCAACAAAAGCCCACAAACGCCTGATTCGTGCACCACCTGCAAAAAAGGAAAACATATGCCCTGGCAGTGCCGATCCAAACAAGATGCGAGTAGAAGACCTAATCCAAAAAACTCCAAGGCGAGCGCGCCGCGTCACCGCGTGATGAAACAAATGGTGGCCCCCCAAAACCCCGAGGTAAAATCTGCGAATATCCCGGTCCCAATGCCCTTCGCTGCATCACCAGCACAATCCCAGCTAATGACTCAAACTTACTATCCCCAGGCACCTGGTGCACTCTGGCGACCTCCAAGCCAACAACCTTCTTAAAGGATGATGGCTACGACTATATTTCGACAGGAATCACTGGGCCTTCACAACTCCGGCAAGACTTTCTAATAGTTGGCAAAGAAAGGAACTGCATCCTGGGGCTACTTGTTCTACCTTGTGTAGTCTCTGCTAACTGCAATGAAGAACTATTAGTGTTAGCCAAAGCTTACTACCCCCCATTGCATATTCCACCTAAAACCCCTATAGCCACTGCCATTGCACTGCCTATGGGAGCCATAGACCAGATACCACCACGTTGTTTCCCAGTCGCTTCTGAAAACCCCGAGGTCCTATGGGTTCAACACATAAGTGACCAAAGACCAATGCTAACTTGTGAACTATCAAATGGCGGGGTTCGAGTCACCATCAAGGGGATGATCGACACGGGGGCAGACGTTTCTGTAATTTCTTCTTGTTATTGGCCTACTGATTGGAGGTTGGTACCTCCCCCAAGCACTCTCACAGGCATCGGAGGTGTCACTCCGTGCTTGCAAAGCGAATCTGTGATCAGCATTGAAGGGCCTGACAGAATGAAAGCATTGATTCGCCCTTATGTGGTTCAGAAACCCATCACAGTATGGGGAAGGGACTTGCTTTCTGCATGGGGAGCTAAAATTGAACTGGGTTTTTTGTAGGGGCCACTAAAGCACTCAGCACTCCAAAACTGACCTGGAAGACTGACACCCCTGTCTGGGTCGATCAGTGGCCCCTGCCAGATAACAAGCTGAGTGCCCTCAAAGAACTGGTAGCAGAACAACTGCAGAAGGGCCACATTAAGCCCACTAACAGCCCCTGGAACTCACCTGTATTTGTGATCCATAAGAAAACCTCTAACACCTGGCGACTGCTACACGATCTCAGAAAAATCAATGCAGTGATCGAAAACATGGGCCCACTCCAGCCTGGCCTGCCCAACCTGTCCATGATACCCAGAGACTGGCCTCTTATCATCATAGATCTGAAAGACTGTTTCTTCAACATCCCTCTGCATCCAGATGACGCTCCTCGTTTTGCCTTCTCCATCCCAAGTACGAACTTACAAGAACCGCTTCAGAGGTATCACTGGCTTTCCCTCCCCCAAGGAATGAAAAACTCGCCTACTATCTGCCAATATTTTGTCGCCCGCGCGCTGACTCCAGTCCGCCAAAAGTTTCCACAATCCGTTATCCTACACTACATGGATGATCTGCTTATTGCAGCACCAACACAAGAGCAGATGAGAGGGACTTGTAGTTATGCTGTTGCTGAAGTGAAAAAGGCTGGACTTGTGATCTCTGAATCAAAAATACAAGAAACTGCCCCCTGGAAGTATCTAGGCTGGAAACTAACAGATCAGTCTATTTCCCCCCAAAAGATACAAATCCGAACCGATGTCCGCACTCTACAGGACTTACAACAGATCTTAGGGGAAATTAATTGGGTTAGGCCTGTCTTAGGAATAACTGCTGATGAACTTGCTCCACTTTTTGATCTGTTAAAGGGAGACAATGAACTCAGATCCCCCAGGTCTCTCACTCCAGAGGCTTATAAAGCCCTAGAACACATCACTGACGCTCTGCAGAACAGGCAGGCACATCGCTATGTTCCTGGTCAACCCTTTTTCCTTGCAATCCTGGGAGAAAAGTTGAGGCTGTGCGGCCTCATCTTCCAATGGGACTCTTCTCTCAAGGATCCACTGTTAATAATTGAATGGGTTTTTATTTCCTATAGGTCACCAAAGACAATCCTCACACCTTTGGAGATGATGTCACAGATCATCATCAAAGGCAGAGCAAGGCTCCTTTCAATAGCAGGCCGCGAGTTTGAAACTATTTACCTGCCCATGAAGAAAACATATTTTGACTGGGCTATGCAAAAATCGGAGGACCTGCTGTATGCCTTGCTGAACTTCCCAGGCACCTGCTCAATTCACTACCCAGCACACAAAATGATCAAAGCCAAGTTATGTTATAAGGAGAAGCCCCTGATCAGTGAAGAACCTTTAAATGCAATTACTATCTTCACTGACGGGTCAGGCCGAACACACAACTCAGTTGTTACATGGCAAAATACAAAAACTAAAACCTGGGAACAAGATGTCCAAAAAGTTGAAGGTTCCCCTCAGATTGTTGAATTGGCTGCAGTTGTAAGAGCATTTCAGCTCTTTCCGGAACCTTTCAACCTGATCACAGATTCAGCTTATGTAGCTAATGTCATTAAGAGAATTGAGGGATCCGTTCTAAAGGATGTAAGCAACAATAATTTGTGTCTTTGGCTTACCTGTTTATATAACATTTTATCACACAGAGCTAATCCTTACTTTATCTCTCATATCAGGGCTCACTCTGGTCTTCCAGGATTCATGGCAGAGGGAAATGCACGCGCTGATGCACTGGCATCAGCCGCGTCTGATGAGGAAGGTTCAGCAAGCGTTGAAAAATCTACCTCGGTGCTTGCTGCAACCACCTTGCCCAACACTATTGAACAAGCCAAATTGAGCCATGCATTCTTTCACCAAAACGCACAGGCCATCAAACGAGATTTTCACATTTCCCTAGAGCAAGCACAAAATATTGTACGAGCTTGCCCAAGCTGTCAGCATGTGCAACCCCTCCCCCCTTCAGCAGCCACCAACCCGCGAGGGTTGGAGAGCCTACAGAAATGGCAAACAGATATCACTAAATATCCATCTTTTGGGAAGTTTAAAAACATCCATGTATCTATTGATACATTTTCAAATGCAATTTTTGCCTCTGTACATACAGGGGAAACAGCCAAGCATGTCTGCCAACATTTCTCACAAGCCTTCTCCTATTTAGGTGTTCCCCAAGAAATTAAAACTGATAATGGCCCCTCATATACCTCACAAGAACTAGCCACATTCCTGAATGATTGGGGTGTTCACCATACATTTGGCATCCCTCACTCCCCCACGAGTCAGGGAATGGTAGAAAGAACACACCAAACCCTAAAACGCATTTTAAATCAACAGAAAGGAGGAGTAGATCAAGCTACACCTCAAAAGAGATTGAGTAAAGCTCTGTATGTTTACAATTTCCTAAATAGCTCTACAGAAGAGCCCGACCCCCCCATCTACAGACACTTTCTGAACAACAAAAAAGCAAAAATTAAGGAACACCCCCCAGTTTTAATAAAAAACTTAGACACAGGGCAAATAGAAGGTCCATACAACCTCATAACGTGGGGAAAAGGTTTTGCTTGTGTTTCTACAGGTCAAGGACTTAAGTGGGTCCCAGGAAAGAACGTGAAGCCTTACCATGCTCCGAAATCTGCTGACACCCCCACACCAGACAGTTCCTCTACAAGCACAAGCCAAGAAGCCAGCACCCAGACCTGAACCACGCTGCGTCATCGAGAGAAAAATGGACTTTCTATCGTTTAATGCGTGCATATTGTTTTTGTTCTTCTGTTTCAGTTTTTATATTGAAGTTTTACTTATAATTCAACCAAAGACAAATGCCGAGTAGCTCTAGCCAAGCCTGCAAGCTCTAAGACCACCTATATATCTAACACAAACCCTAACAAACCTTTTTCAACCCGTTTAATTATAAGACCTTTTCCAAAAAAAATTCTGACAATGCCTCCCCTACTATAATCAGTGATTTAATACAATAAAGCCATCTCAGCTACACAGTTGACTTAATAGTTCGAGACTTGCACCTTGGCTAAAGGAACTCTGTAAAATAAGCTTAACTGTTTCAGTAGCAATAAGTATAGTTCTAGTAACAATACCCTGTACACCTCCAAGTGTGCAGAAAATAGTTGTTAAATCAATATTTAATATTTCAAATGGTTCAGTGAAAAAGGGGGAGATGTTGGGGAGGGTAGATAAATATGATTAAGAACCACAATGGTACAGCCAGGACGAATATAACGCCCCCTACTGGCTGGACAATTACCCTCACCTACAGCGGGGTCCAAAAGCCAAATGGATTCTCCCATGTCACCCCCCAGAATGTATGGTTCACCCCACATCTGTAACCCTCCCCTGAACCATCAGGTGCCTGTGACCCCATTGGCCCAGGTCCTGTTCCAGCCCACCCTGGAGCCCCCCTTGATAAGGGGTCTCCAGGGGGCTGGACTCCCTCTTGGATCTCCCTTGCCCTCCTGGAGAGTCCTCCGGGAGTCCCTGCTCTCCTCTCTGTCTCTCCCCTCCCCCATCACCCGAGGCCCAGCCACGTGCTGTGTCTGGCAGCTCGAGGCAGAGCCTCAATGTATCCTGAATAAACCTCTTCCCCCAAGAGCAACCAAAGAGATCTCGCTTGAATTTGTCCGTGGAATACAAATACACGTCGTTACAGTTTGTGTCCACTAGCCCTTTATAAAATGTTCTACATCACTCACTAACTTTCAGTCTAAATATAATCATGAACAACTTTACTAAGCCTTTACTTGCAAAAAATCATCTTCCAGTCTAAAACTTGCCCCTTTAATTTATTTACAGGGAGTAAAATGAATCCCTGTAATTTCTGATTTGTTAATTTAAACAAGAAGTGCTCTTTATAAGGAGTATATGTTGCTAGGAAAATGGAAGTCTGAATGCAGCAGAAACTGGAAAATCTTAAGGAATTAATTGTTACAGAAAGGAAAGCAGATGACAGCACACAGGTACAAGCTTATTTGTGAGCTCAAAACAGATGTTCTGGTTTCTAATCCATGCTGAGACAGTGCTACTGTATTGTACTTTCATTGCTTGTTACTTGCTTTAGTGAAAGAAAAGCAGCTAAAGGATCCCTGCTGATCTGACAGTCACAAGCTCTGGCCCCACAGACATGACAAAGTTTAATGATATAAGGTCGTAGTGCATCTCCTTGAATACTCATAACATTCTAGCTAAGGCAACACAGAAATTGGAAAAGGATTTCTCAAACACTGAACCTTTATTCAGTTTCCTAAGAAATTTTCATCTAGAACACTTGTAGTACTTAGTAATTTTAGTCCACAGTAGGTGGAGAAGTGCTGACCAGTGTGACCATGAGGACAACACTGAATGTCCTAGTCACCAAGATTATGATCAGAAATCAGAGTGTGTCAGTCACCTTTTAAAAACATGTTTCAACATAACATTTTGTCACTAAAAATAAAATTTTGCCAATTTTCATGAGCTAGGTAAAAAGAAACTACTACAGAACATTTAACATAGCCTTCTGACTCTACCTAGATGCATTTTATTTTAGGATTTGACACACATTTACAGTGCATTTATGAAAAAGGCAATTTCACTGAGTAAACTGTTCACTGTACTCTTCTTCAACCCTCATAATTTGTATACAGAAGAAATCTTCTCCATGGACTTCAAGAGGTAAGGAAATAAGTCTTACTTTAAATGCATGGGATTGGGAAGCATCATACTCTGTGCTGAGTAATAAATGTGAGATACAACCCATCCAAATTTAGTCAGATGGAAAGTGAGCACCCAATCTCACCTAGACATACAGGATGAACTGCCATCTAGAGGTCTCCCCACTATTTTGTCTTCTTTGAAAATGGGGACTATATAAACTGCTGAGACCATATGCTTAACTAATAGCTAAAATTGAGCAAGATGACCTCCCACAACTCATGATATTTATAGAGATGCCTTGCTTAGGGATTTTTCTGCAGTTATTTCTATAGCATTAGATTTATACCTTTACTCACATCCTACATCTCAAAATATTCTATTTGCTCTATGCTACAATGTACTGACAAGAATACCTATGAAAATTATTAAACCACCCTAATTATGGACAAATGGTAAATAGTAATGGCCTTATCATTCATCCACTTTGATTCTTTAACCTGTAAGCTCATCCTGAAGCACAAACTACAAAATTCACTAACTTGCTAACTGTGAAGCAACTACACTCAATTTACAAGTCAAACATTGGACACATACCAGGACTGGCAAGGGGAATTACAATCTTTCATTCTTGAGAAACTGCCTTGTGATCTTTTTATGAAGACTTAATGCCAAGACTATCTATCAAGTTAACACTACCAAGGAAAATGTCCTAAGTAATCTCATCTGAAAGAGTCATTTAATAACACCTATCCACTGAATCAGCCCAGAATCTTGTTCCTCTTCCTCATGGAAATCTTCCAT